CGATCGCCGACTGTCGACGTTGACTAGTGAACGTCCGCCCGGGCAGGGATGGCGGGCTGGATCCATCCCTGGGAGAGACATTGGCTTCCTTTAAGTTTAAGGCATCATCAAGTTGATATTTGCTTGGGACATGAGAAACTCAAAGTTCACCTTTCACAACTTAGTCTTGAACAATATGGAAGTCATGTTCGATATGCTTCATTTCCGAGTGGAACACTTGATTAGCACGAAGGTGTTTGGCATCAATGTTGTCGGAAAAAAAAATGGAACTTGAGTGAGTTGAACGTGTAGTTCTTAAAGAAGAGAACGAAGTCACAAATTTCTGAGACAGCAACTGCAATTATCCTATATTCAGCCATAGTAGAAGAACATGCACTACATTTCTACTTAGACTCCACGAGACTGGATTGCCACCAAGAACCACCAAGAAAGCTACATAGGCAGTGGTTGAGGTCTAATCATCCTTGTCCTCCCAATCTGCATCAAAGAAGGCATGAACGATGAAATCAGACTAACATTTGAGAAAAAGTCCATAATGGACGGTGTTTTTCAAGTCGCGAAGAAATCTTGTGACTGCACTCCGGTGACATTCAATATCTTTGTGTATGAATTTAGACAATTTGTTCACAACAAAGTTAATTATTAGGTCGAATTAAGGTTGCCAACTACCGATGATATTCCAAAGAAAATACCATCAAGATGCTCATGAGATAGACTATGAACTTTATCTCTTGGTAAAAGAATTGTTTGTGTAGGCATTCATTTAACCTAAATGAAGTTTGTTCCAATCCGAATATTAAGCCCTGTTCGATTTGACTTAAAATTAAATTTTTAATAGATTTTGATTTAAAAAAAAGTGAAATACGTGATAAAAAAAAGTTGATAAAAGCTGTGAATTCTTTAAAATATATGGTTGAAAATGAATTTGAGAAAAAAATAAATTTTAAACAATTGACGCAAAATATTCGATATAGTAAAATCCAAGGGTTTGGTCAAAATAAGTTCACCTGTAATAAATTTCGTTCCAATCTAAATAGAGTAATGTTATTCATCCCTAGTAAGGATGAAAACACAGTTTATGTGATTTTAAATGATAGGTTAAATGAAATGTGAAATTAAATGACACATTAACGCTACGTAGACTGTGTTTTCATCCCCACTGGAGATGAATAGCATTACTCATCTAAATATTAATTATTCAACCTACTAAAACCCACTCAGATGGGTTAGTAATTAATAGCAGTCTTAACACTAGCAAATTGCAATTATTATTAAAGAGGCCTCTGTTAAAAGCCAAACAAGCAACCTATAAATTGGTAGAAATATCATAAATTGAGCTCATATAATTAATATTGTGACTAATCCGTCAAGAGCCTTATCGAATTTAACAAATACTCATAATTCTTAATTTAAACTAATACTCCCTCCGTCCCAATTTATATAGGCTGGGTTTCTTTTTTTTCTTGTACCAAATATATATGTATGTTTCCTAGTATAGAATATTTTGTTGTGTTACTTTACCGATATACCCTTATTAAATTTTTTCCACTTAATATGCCAACTTCTTGAAATCGTCCAAATACACACATTTCCAACTTCTTGGAAATATGGAACAACTCGCAATTCTTCTTCTTCTTCTTCAAATTCTTTATTAGTTCCAATAATAATTTAGTTTTACATA